GGTAAAAAAGGTGTTTTTTACACTACCATTGAGAAATTTTATCCAAACTATGTTACAGACTTTTCATTAAGACCCTAAAGAATCATATCAACTTGTGGAAAATGGGCATCCTATGACCCCTTTAAACAGTAGACACTAAAGAGTTCATAATATATTCCAATTAGGAAAATCAATGAATCATTAATAAAATTGGATGTATTATTGTGCCAGATGAGTAAACCACTAAACATACTTTACAAAAAAGGACTTAAGAATCAGAATCTTGTTTATTTCCATATCTATACATTTTGGGGAATGATTAAATGTGTATATTTTTATATTGCATTATTATTAATATGTTAAATAATTAATTGCATGGTAAATTTACAGTCCTAATCTCATTTGTTTCTCCAATTATGAGACTAAATGGAGACTTTAAGTATATAATTGATCTCAGTAATGTACAGTATATGTGCTCAGAATAGCTAAGATACCAAATTCTTCAATCAAAAGACACATATTTCAATACAAACTAATTTTCTCATTGGATTCTTTCAAGAGCAAATTATCCCCCACACACGTACACCATCCTCTGTTTATCACACACTCGCAGTCTGTCCCTGTTTCAGTCAAGCTCATGTCTCGATGGAGTATTAATGGCCTGGGAAAGACTTCAATAGAATGAGACACCATGTTCCTCTGTGATACGCTGACTGAAATCATCTTTGATTATCTCTCCCTAGATTAGCCTTCCCTTGTATGCTGGAACTTTCTCGACGTTTCATAATCGCTTACATACAAGATGTGTCTACTAATATACCCAGCTCACATTGAATAAAGAGCATTGAGCTATATCTTCTATATAGCTTTGTGAGCTGTAACTCATTCGGGAGTGGTGACTTTCCACGTATTCCCAACTTCTGAGCCTGCTCGCCTGAAGTTATGGTTGATTGCTCTTCGGCTGGATATCAACACACCCATTAACATAAACTACGCCAGAGCGCGTACACACCTCACGCACCGAATGCCGTGCTCAAGGAAGTTGGACATTGCGGTGAATCAGAGGTAAAATATGATATAAATGCTGTTCGGTTTCTGGCACAAACCGATCGTTTCGTGTCTTAGGACATCAATGTGTCGTCACGAGCCGCAGGGTTTAATTTGGATTTGTCTGTGCATGTTTTTTTTTACTCTCATAGATTTTGTTACCATTGCCGTGCATTATACGACTGATAGACTGCAGCCGTTGGACTTAAAAATCATAATTTGTGTTCTACTGAAGAAACAAAGTCACCTACATCTTGGATGCAGTGGGGGCAAGCAGATAAACATCAAATTTTCGTTTTTGGATGAACTATCCCTTTAAGTGCTCTGCTAAATCTTATCCCTGCAAAACAAATACATTTTTACTTACTAGCAGAAGCATATTTTATAAAAAGTATGTCATCACTCAAAGGCATTTGATATTTTTAACGGTTCAGTTGAAAAAAAAGGTGATTTGCATGACTTTGCAATGATAATTTGTGATTTGCATGATAATTCTGATGACTTTACGCCGTACTAAAACATCAAATCTACAGCGCGGCCAGCGTTGTTCGGTTCCCAAACGAATGACTCTTACGAGCCGGTTCTTTTCAGTGAATCAAAAACATGTAGAACCCACTGATCATCAGTGGTAGAACCACAATTGTAATCGGATCCCCGAACTAATGGCATTCATGAGCCGGTTCTTTTCAGCGAATCATATTAAAAGCACGACTAAAATCGTTCGAATCCTAAACGAATGACTCTATAGCTGGTTCTTTTCAGTGATTCAGTGACGTAGAGCAACCAATGTAGTCTGAGCCGGTCGGATCTTTTTAGTGAATCCAAAATAAACAGCCCGTTACACACTTTTTAAAAGAACTGAAATTGGAAATGTTGTTATATTTGTCCTGTTGGCATCTGAAATGATCTCATTAGTCCTATTTAACTACAGACTGTTAAGGGCAGTAAATGCAATTATATTTTTTAAATAATAGGCTACTAAATAAATCTGAAGTACTAAATGAAACGTTAAGGAAACCGAATCGTTTAGAAGAATCACAAATAATTCAATCCCTTACGAATCCCTAAACCGGAGAAGTCGCTGTCCACTAGCGTGGTGCTGAATCGCCTGCTGCTGTCCTGACGGGCATTTTTTAAACGATAACAAAAACATTTGAATCCAAATATTTTGGAACGCACGCAATACACCTGTAATCCACTAAAAGGAACATGCTCTAATCACCAACATTCAGTATGCTACCTCTACCGTTTGAGAACTCCCAATATCCCTGTTGTTGTACAGTAGATTTAAAAAACTCCATCAACTAATTCAGTAAAAGACTAAAAGGTTATATTGCATTTCCATACCTTGCAACTAAAGAGTTAAGTGTAACGTCGGCTGGATCCCGACCGTACAGCTGCAGCAACAACAACATGCAAAAACAGGAGGAAAACATGACATGATAGACATTTTGGTTTAGCCACTGCGAAGCTAATTAAAATGGATTTTTATGAGCATCGCACGTATTTTCTTGGATAAACTGTTATTAATTGCATCAGGCGGTCATCGCTGACATCAATGTATCAATGCGCTTATGATGTGATTTCATTGATCATCTTGTACACTTGAAGGAAAAAGTGACGATAAATACGCAAAGCGGAGAATATAATACAGGACATATTCAAAACATGAAAGTGCTATTATAAAGACATTAAATATAATTTAAACGCTGTAGGAGTGGCATCCACAAGTATTGATCCTGCATGGGAAAAAATGCATCTTCAGACGTATTAACGCCACAAAACAACATTACAACCTCAAGGCAACTGTAGTTATTTGTATGGCATGTGTAAATGCAATTAAATATTATTTAGAAAAAGCTTATAGCTTATCTGCACACCATGCCACACTTTTCCTATCAGGTTTCCGGCATACATTTCCAATACGATCAATAATACCTAAGCATACGGTAACATATTTTGAAAGAACTAGTTAGATCTACAAAAAACACCCACCTTAACTTGTGAAGACTCATTGCTGACAGCGGTGTGAAATTAAGCATTTAAATAAGGGAAAACGCAGGAACGTCACTGTTGAAATAAAGCCAGTAGACAGCAGCTCGTTCTTCTCCTCCAGACATACACATAGCGCCCCGCTTTTTGTTTATGGAAAAAGATCAACAAGTCTTGGGGTGAATCCACACTGTTTTCGTTCACTGATGTCTAGCGTCTCTTGCGTGAAGGCGACAGCTGCTTTCCTTGCAGATGGCTGGCTCTCCGTAGTCTCACCGCCCAATGGCAGAGAGACGGCGCGTTTAACCCTTGCCACCCAGCACCAAGAGGCTCTTGGAGCAGCTCCTTCTGTGTTGTTACGAGTAACCTGTGTACAAATGGCGCCTGAAGAGCGGGCAATACGGAAAATAGCTCCTTATTTCATATGCGTTAGGAAACGCATCCGCTTTTTGGAGCAGTGCTCAAAGCAACCCCTGAATCATTTCAGCCATAGCTGCAGCTCCTTGAATATATGAGTTTCATTTAATATTTTACCATGGTGAAGCACAGCAGCTGTACTGAGATGCTCACACTTTGGTCTCCACTCTCCAGTCATCACATTTCAGAGCCCTTATATTGAATTTCAGCAAATAGAGAAGATTGTCTATCCTAATTATTTTAAGGGTAAATTTAAACCTTTCTGATCTGTTGAGACTGACTTTTCTCTTTTAAATTATGGTCATGTGGTTTAGAAACAGCTGCAATAGTGACCAGGCATAATTTGTTACCACATGCATTTACACAACACACACACGCCTTTTGTGTGTGTGTGTGTGTGTGTGTGTGTGTGTACCTGTTTTTCTATTCTGGTGGGGACTTAAACCTGAATACACACAGACTCATGGGGACTCATGTCACGGTGGGGACCGGTGGGGTAAACAAGCTAATCAATTACACAGAATGAAGTTTTTTGAAAATCTAAAAATGCAGAAAGTTTCCTGTAAGGGGTAGGTTTAGGTGTAGGGCAATAGAAAATATGGTCTGTACAGTAGAAAAACCTTTACGCCTATGGAGAGTCCCCACAAGGATAGCAAACCAGATGTGTGTCTCAGAATAAATGTAACCCCTTCTAGGGATTCTCCGTAGAAATCTTAAATCTGAAAAAAATTATAATAATTAAAATAAAAATTGTATTAATTAAAAAATGAAATAAAATGTAAATTATATATAATACATTTTAGAATAAATTATGTATGTATATATATATATATATTTATATGTGTGTTTTTATATGTTATTTTAGAATTATATCAAATTTGATATTTTTTATTGCAGATAATGGATCGACTTCTCAATTTCTCAGGAAACAGGTGTTTAGGAAAGTGATGTGGTGGCGCAAAAACAAAGGTTGCGGGTTTGAGTCTTGTACCGGCAGGGATTGTAGGTGGGGGTAGTGAATGTACAGCGCTCTCTCCCACCTTCAATACCACGACTGAGGTGCCCTTGAGCAAGGCACCGAACCCCCAACTGCTCCCCGGGCGCCGCAGCATAAAAAATGGCTGCCCACTGCTCCGGGTGTGTGTGTGTGTGTGTGTGCACTTTGGATGGGATAAATGCAGAGCACTAATTCAGAGTATGGGTCACCATACTTGGCCACATGTCACATCACTTTTCACTTTTTTTTACCCTGGGGTAACCTATGTGACTTTGACCTAGCCAAAACACTACAGACAGATCGATGCTTTAACTTTGTTGTATAACAAAGCAGGCATGCATGTTTCCAAAATGCGTTATCTACTATAGTAGCACTTTTACTTTTGTTTCACATCATTTTGGCCCTGACAAACAAAAATAATGAAGAAAAAATACAATAAACCAAGTGTGTTTGATCGTGCATTTTTCATGGGATTTAAAACACGTTGAATTGCATTAGAATTAGGACGTATTTTGAGGCCTTGGATGCAGAAAAGTAAGGATGATAAAACCAAATGACATCAGAGTTTAAAAAAATACAATATTTATTGCAATGAGTATTCAGACACTGGTAAGAAAAAAAAGGCTATTGCTATCTGTACAGTTTTAATTCGATTTGGCGTATTAAGATCTTATTCTGTAGCGTATCTCTAGATCGCCAGCTGGTTGGAGAATGCCAAAGCCATATCGGGTGGGGTCTACCAATGGCAGCTTTGCATTCTTGTCACACAGTTCTAGATCAAATCGAGTCAAGATCGTGAACACAAGCCTAAAGGGATTGGAAAAAGAAGAATTCCAAACGTCATTATAGTTGCTAAGAGACACAAGCATAACATTTGTTGAATCAAATCAATTTAAAGCATAGCACAAGGACTAAAGGTGCGGTCACATTAGTGAAATTCTGGCAATAATTTCACAGACAAGAAGATTCTTTAATTCTTTAGACATGAATGAAAATGAGGCCACGAGGGAAGAACAGTGCGTTCGATGGAATGTACTTTTGTTTAACAACATGCCAGTTGACGAAAACATCTTTTTGGAAAAGACTTTCAGTAGACAAAAACTCCATACAACAGTTTTGAAAATGATCTAGGACTTTTATACAGTGCATGCCATTGTAAAGACTGCAAGTTTATCCCTCGTTTTCATCCGTGTTACATTCAATATGGCATCTAACCTTGATTAAGTTCTACAGTCAATGGGGTAGAAATGTATGAAGCACTGCTCACACACAAGACACTTTTAAACTAAGAAGCAGCGAATCTGAATGAACAACTTGAACCTGAGCTGAATCTGTGTGGAAAACTTTTTTCACTTTCACATGAAACTTCCAATAACTGAATTGATTGGATTTTGCAATGGTAAATGTGACTGCACCTTATATGGTTAATGCAATTATACTCACTCTTTAATCGCACCAATTGCAAATTGGCGTCCTGGACACAGGTTGTCTTTGGTCCCCCAGGGCACAGAGGGATACTTCATCCTCAACCCTTCCTTAAAGAAGTCTTTCTTCTCTGTCCCATCTGCATTAAGGAAGCGGTCAAACTGGAACATCTGTAACATGAGGAGAAAACAAGCAGAATTAGCATTTTTATTATTGTGTCTTCGGGTATTATATTAATATTTGTAACATCAAATTGTCTTGATGAAATAGAGTAAAGCAAGAAACTGCACTCTTGTGATAAGTTTGTGAGACGCGTCCAACGTTTGCTTGCAAGAACAACATCTTGCTGTGCTGTTAATCAATTTACTATTAATCAGTGGCCTTGACATGGAAGCTTGGATCAGATCTAGTTCACAGTGCCAATACACAACACTACGGTATGCAACGTCAGCATTTTGGCCTACAAAGCACTGTGTATAGTGCGATCATCTGTTTCTCACAGATAGTATGAGCAGCAGCAGTGCCTATAAACTGTGACCCCCTTCCCCCTATTTGTCTTTTTGCCAATGATAGCACTTGAATAGCTAATCCCAGATATCTCACTAGATTAGCCGTTGGATTTGTGCAGAATGTAATCCAAGCTTGATCATAATGGTGGACATCAATAAAGTTCAAGCTAAAAAGGTTTAGGCCATCTATAAGTGATGTGTGTTAATAGAGCAATGTACTAAGCAATGCATTATCTGCAAAAAAAGAAAGAAAAGATTCCATTGCATAGCAACACTAATCCTTTTTTTAATTTTTGGTTTGCTTGTGATTATTTTTTTTTATATTTTGTAATTATTTTAGTTTAAATATGAAGTATTTTTCTTTCAACTTTTCATGTTAAAATTGATATATGTATAATTTAAATTTTTTTAAATGTAAATTATATTGCAAAAACTGAAAACTACGTGGTTGCTAAAGTGTAAAAAGTTAATATTTTTTATAATTACATTTTTTTTTAATTCCCTGATTGCTAAGGTGTTACATTTAATTTAATTTAAATATATTGTCTATCATTTTTTATATATATAAAAAAAAAATCCCCATTTTCTTGCCCATGGAAAAGTCACGATGCCAGAGAGTTGCTATGTGGTTGCTAGGGTGTTCTTGGCAAGAACTAATCTCCAAGTCTTTATTATATTCTAGATGTTGCTTGGTACCTTTAATGTAAGTCTACAGAATATTTTTGGGCCGTTATATAACGCAGTGTAAGTGCTCGAGTCTATTTCAATTGCACCTATTTTTGACAAAGTGAAAATCAATACATATTTCAAATTTATCTAAAATCTGCCCAGATTCTTCAAGTAATGAAATGATTTCTCTCCCAAGTGAATCTCATCTCTCCGCTTTGTTGAGTTTAGGATGGAAGTGGAATCTGAAAGTGCACCTCTGGCTGTTGGTGGATCTGTGGGTCCATCTGAGGGCTGATGAAGGGGAAAACGCACAGCCGATCACCCCGTCGGAGCTGGTATTCTTGCCCATTGCTTAAACAAATCTTCTTATCTTGCTTCACTTCTCTAGTGATGAGAGCAGCTGCAGTTAGACGCAGCGTCTCACTAAGAACGCTATCTGTAAAAACAGATTTCAGAAATTTTGTTTTAATTTCAGTGAAATTTGTTGGAATTGGTTTTGTAATTGCCATTTTAAAATATATATGGGTGTGTGTATATATACGTGTATATATATATATATGAGCATGGTAATTTCCATATGGAACTCAATTGGGTGTTGATGCAAAATTACTAAAGATTCTTAGAACACTAATATATTGCCTATGTACCAACATATAATATACACTCTCGTTTAGATTATCAGAAGACGAATTCATAGATACTAAACATGGTAAGATTATATATTTGGTTTGGTCTTGTTCTGTATCGCGTATCTTGTCAGTGTCTGCGCTTGCTTGGCCATTTGTTGTGGAGAAAATAAGGAAAGTGTGTTCAAGCGCCAGCAGAAAACAGTGTAAAGAAATAGTCTTTGAGAGAAGCAGTCTTTATCAGCGGAAGTTAAAAGCAGCCAGTAAGTGTATTTACTTGTCTCATTAGTGCTTAGCGCGGTTGTTGTTGCTAGGAAACGCTTGTTTTGTTTACTGTGTGGAGACGTGCTGATATCGCGTTTGGTCTCGTTCTGTATCGCGTATCTTGTCAGTGTCTGTGCTTGCTTGGCCATTTGTTGTGGAGAAAATAAGGAAAGTGTGTCCAGCTGAATTAATTTAGCATTTTGTTAGACGGGTATAAAAAAGCTTAGTTTACCGCGACCGCAGCCGTCGCGTGACGGCCTCCTCATGTAAAGACTGAAGAGTGTAAAGACCATCGACTCCACCGTGCGACTCCACCGGGCAGGGACACCGGCAAAGGATAAGTATCGCTTTTTATTTCTCCTCTTTCCTATTACTTGTTTCGCTTCTGTTTCAGTTTTTATAACCATTTCTTACGATGTGTAAGTAAGTTGTTAATGAGGAAAAAAACTTAACTTGAATGATTTTAGCAAATGGCTGCAATATTGTTAAGAGTGAAAATTTTAAGGGGGTCTGAATACTTTCCGTACCCACTGTATATGTGTGTGGTTGTACATACACATTATGTAGTTTTTTGTTGTTGTTTGGCTTAGTGTTATGTTAGAATCGTTATTATACTCTTATACCTTTTGTTCTTTATTATTTAGAATTGTTTTTAGCTTTATTTTTTGTTTTTCATTTAAATGTTAAGTTTTGAAATTTTGTTGTATGCATTTGTCATTTTTATTTAATCTCTTTATTTTTTAAATGTGTATAGGTAGTATTTATAAAGTTTTAGCTTTTAGATTTGGATCTGTTTTTAGTTGTTTTAATACTACAATTGATTGCTTCTGTAATCCTCATTTGTAAGTCGCTTTGGATAAAAGCATCTAATAAATTACTAAATAAATAAAATAAATAAATCTAGAAAGAACCTTTTTAATTGCCTGCAAAACAAGTGTGAGTCACCTGACACCCATTGATGTGTCAGAAGATTTATGACATTTCATATAAATATACAGCAGGGTCTAACCTACAGCGTATTGCTTCTCCTTAAACGGTTTTATATCAACATTACTGTCAGTGCACGCGAAGCAGTGCAGTTAAACCTGTCATACAACAATTGCTGTGGATTCAGGGGGACTCCTCACTGACAGGCAAGGCCAATGAGGGGTGAAGACTCTCAGACAGACTCTCAGAGGTGAATCTGTCTGTAAATAAACCTGCTGATACCATGACAAAGCTAAAGAATCACTTTCTGTTAGAGGGAATTCCCATGTGCTCATATCTTTGAAATTGCATCACATGTTGGTTTTATAAGAGTGTCAGATGCTGTAGCAAGCTATGACAACACATTATGCATGATAAAGCCTATGGGTTTATTTGTTTTAGCTTAGGATTGGACATTATACATAGCTCCATAACACACTAAGATGCATGAAAAAACTACATTACTGTTAAAATGATTGGGGTCAGTAAGATGTTTTTAATGTTCTTGAAAAAAGTTTCTTATGCTCACCAAAGCTACATTTATTTGATCAAAAATACAGTAAAAACAGTAATATAATGAAATATTTAAAACCAAACTTTTAAACGGTAGTTTTATATTTTTGTGAAAATATGAGTGGTTTTAGTAGGGTGCTCTGGGTGACTTCTTACTGGTCTCAAGTCTTTATAATATTCTTAATATATGATAAAAATGTCAAGTCTGATTTCTAGTAAATTTATTCTGTGCCAAAGCTTAATACGTATGGTTAGTGGTTTGTTCAAATCCCTAACCTTAAATATGAGCAATATTAGCAATCATATTACCAAGAATCACTAATTGTGCAGTGAAGCTGTTTCTCTGTGGTTATACTGCTCTCATGTGGTTAAAGCAGAGAACTGCTGCATGATGCCTTAGGAAATGTAAATCTATACTCAAAAAAAAAAGCAATAGTTTCAATTCAACCAATTGTATATTGTATTACAAAATTAATTTCTTAATTTACCTTGTCATTCCAAACCCCTTTAACTTTTCTTTGTAGTCCTATAAACTACTTTTATTGGGGTTCCATATAGCAAACTGTATGTTTTCAGTGTAGAGAAAGAACAATGTGAACATTCTGCCTCATACGCATAAACATATGCATTTTGTGTTCCATAGAAAGTTATACATGCTTGGAACAACATGAGGGTGAGTATATGATGACATAATTGTCAATGTTGGGTGAACTAATCCTTTAATTGTGCCTAATGCCGTTTATTTAGATAATTTATATGTGATTGTGTTAACAAGCTTGAATATGCATGTAATAATTCTATCAAATGCATTGTACATACTAGGGAAGCATCAACACCTGCGTTACCTAATTCCCTTCAGTTACAAAGGAATCATTCAGTAGGTGTTGTTTGGCCTCAGGCTATGGTGTCTCAGGTGTGCTTTGTGCAACTTCTGTGTTCATGTTCTGTGAAACTCGAGTGAAATCACGCACTCGCACATTCCAGAGGTGACAGGCTCTTTTGTTTACAGTAAGATCAGGAGTGCAAAACAGCCTATCGCTATGGCAACATCGGGGTATTACTGTGTCATCACCGCTATGTAGTTTTGAGTGATTAAGCATGCTATCAGACAAAAGGAATTTTTAAAGGAATAGTTTATGTTCATGATGATGAACTACTACTTTACCGAATATTTCATATTGTTCCAACCCTATATTATTTTTCAGTTTACACAGTAAAATACAAAAAGAGATCTTTCATACAATGAAAATGAATGGTTATTTATACTGCCGAGCTCCAAAATAGACAAAAAAGCACTGTAAAGTATCTATAGGTCTTCTTAAGCCATAAGGATTTATTGTCTATTTTGGGGCCTGGCAGTATTAATGATCATCCACTTTCCTGTTATGAAAAATAATGGGAAAAATGTGTACATAACCATTCAAAAATCATTCAGGTAAGTGAGATTTTTCTTTAAATTAATACTTCTATTCTGCAAGGATGCATTACATTGATAATAATAAGAAATATTTCTTTAGCACCAAATCAACATAATTAGAATAATTCCTTAATGATCATATGACACTGAAGACCAGAGTAATGGCTGCTGAAAATTACACTTTAAAATAAAAAACAATTATTTTAAATTGTAATATTTCACAATATTACTGTTTTTCTATGTTTTTGATCAAATTAATGCAGCTTTGGTGAGCATAAAGACTTCTTTTAAAAACATCTTACCAGCTTGAATTTCTGAATGATGCACGTTTATTACAACATTTTTCCCCCACCCAGAATGTCTTTTAGAAACATATGTGTTGTGAAAGGATGACTAAGTGATAGAGACAGAGGGAAACTCACCTGTGTGACCCATAGCTGTAGCAGCATGGCTCTCCTCTGAGTCTCAGCATCAATTCCTTCATCCTGCAGGTGCTGTACATAGTTCCCCAACCATGATTGGCGTTCTGGCTTTCTATCTAAACATGATGGAGTCAGCCATTTCCACAGCTTTTCTCGTGCTGAACTTGCAATTTGTTTCTCCTCTAATGAATGTATACATAAAAAAACACAGGTTAGTTAAATAAATCATGTCTAATGTGTAATTTTAAAAGAAAACAATAGTAATGGAAGAAAGAACATCTGTTTTTCTAAGCAATTTCTTTCAAATGAAACCACATTACCTTTGTTTTCAGCAGTCCGAGCCAGTTTAGGCAAAAGCTTGTCAAACCGGCGAAACTCCTCATAAATTTCTGCAAGTGCTGCACTGTTGTTTTTCTCTGCGCCGAACACAGTAAGATAGCCGGTCCTGCAGAGAAGAAGACAGATAGTGATTGGTATGAGGATATATAGCATTCAAAAAACCCTAAGTCAGTCTTACTCATTTTCCACGAAATCAGGTTTTTCCAGACTGTTAAAATCTGTAGTACAACATTTAAGCCTTTAATTTTAACAACTGTCACAAAATACAACGTTTTACTGAATAACCATAAGGCATTCATGAGATAACCAAGCTGCACCTTGTGGAGGCATGACAACAGGTCTTATCTGTACAATAGTGAGTGATAATTATGATTTGCCAGCATTTGGGTGGGACAGTCTCTGCTTGTTGATTGGTACAGAATGAATGTCAAATAAAGTATTAAACCTACATACTCAAGCAGTGCATAAGTGAATCAGGGTTACTGCATGTTGATTTTACAGATTGGCGTACTTAAAAAGCAAGCTGTAGCAAAAATGGAAGAGTCCGTCTTTTTTCCACTCAGATACTTTCAGGCCCATTTCTGAAGGGGTCACAAGGTGCTGGAGGTTGTTCTGCATTGAGCTACAGAGTTGGGTTAAAGCGGACCCCTGAAAATGCCTAGTCAAAACACACACAAAACATATACATGGTTCAGATTAATTGATATTTCAGCTTTGATGTTATCTTAAGATCTATTCGGCATCTGAAAAACATTTAAAGCAAATTCTCAAGATGACAGTAGTTCTGACAGAGAGATTTAACGTTATTAGAAACCTACATTTCTGCTCTTTTCTTCTCAGATTCTGGGTTGTGACTGGGCAGATTCAGGCTGAAGATTCTCTTCATTAGGACCTGAGCATAGCCCGTCTGGTCAAGCGAGACCACATCGGACAGGACAGCATCATAACAATTTGAGTCCAGCAGAACAGTGATATATTGTCCAGCTGCACGCACCTGGTTCACATTAGATGAGTGTGGTTAGTGCTAAAAACAAGTGAAAGGAAGCTGGCACAGGAAATGTCATGTGAGAGAACAAGATTGTCATCTAAACTCTCATATACAGTTGCAATTTCTAGATACAATTTTATTAAGAAAACAGCTGACTAAGGGTAGGTACCACTGCCTCCAATGGTCCCTACAATCAACTTAGCTCACTATGCTTTAGAGAAATGCAGCCCAGGTCATTTCCTCAGGACCCGGGAATAATTGCACTGCATCAGTAATATGCACCATTAGGATTATAAGCAGCTGTAGCTGTAAATCTTAGTTGCAAGTATGAACAAATAAAGTCAAAGTACTAATATCCAGGTGGATGCTGCACACTGGTGGTGGTTGAGGAGATAGCCCCTGACAATGTAAAGCACTTTGAGTGCCTATAAAAGTGCTATATAAATGTAATGAATTATTATTATTATTATTATTATATTGGAAATCACAAATGCGAATTGCAGCAAGAAGAAAGTCACAAGTCATCCCTGTAGTCAAAAGTCATAACAAAAATTATACTATCGATAATAATATACAATATGCACATGTATAATATATTTGATGTATGCATATGTATTATATATATATATATATATATATATATATATATATATATATATATATATATATATATATATAAACAAGCTTTTCAAAGTTGTAAGGGATTTTGGAGTTTAGTAAAAATAGTTAAAAATACAAATATTTAATATAGTCTCTCAACTTAGGTCAAATTAGAAGAATATACATGCATACAGTATACATTCTAAATATATTCTTCTAATCTCACCTAAGTTGCGAGACTATATGAAATATTTGTACTATTATCTATTTAAGCAAACTCCAAAATCCCTTAAAATTTCGAAACCTTGTTGACCTGTCAACAACACAAAAACATGCACTCTTCATTTACATATTCAAGTGAAATTTCTCTTAAAATAACTATATTTCCTCAACTACCCATTAACAAAAACGGCACATTATGACAGATTGCTGCTTTAATTATAGTGTTATTTTACTCAACCAAAATGTGACCTCAAGAACTCACAGTAAAAATGTCGCCGTGCTTCTGCTTCATTCGTGTCAGGAATTTAGCAGCATCTTTGCCAAACTCAAGCGCATGACCGAGCCAGGGAATCATTCCTTTATCGAGAGAAGGCTCATTTCTTCGTCTGCAAAAAAACGACTAGATTAATTCCTAATTGTTTACGCGTATTTGTAAAGTTGAAGTGTCGTCTGTCAGACTCGGGAGCTGGTCGGACTGGTCTGGACTCACCTCGTGCGTCTCGCGTACAGCAACAGAACAGCGAGTCCCAGCAGGAGAAGCGCAGTCCACATCATGCCGAGTGTGTGAAATCTCCTGCTCTGCCTTCCAGAAGTTAAATACTCAACTGACACTCAAAAGTGGTGGGCGTGTAAATGTCTGAATATGACTTAACCTAAAGCAGTTTCTGACTTAGCCTGTTATGGAAACAACATGACGGTTCGTCATGATGATAAGTCACATCAAAACCTACTTTTAGTGAAACCAATCCGAGAAATACGATGTGTGCGAATTAAGCAATGTCCTTGGAGTTGTCAGCGTTTTAAAGAATTTCCTCAGTGAATTCGAGGCGCAGTGTTGTTCCTCTAGGACAAAATGTGTCTTTTGGCGACCTTATCTTTTACAATATTAAACAAAGGCCGTTGGTGATATATGCAAATTCATAACAAAATGGTTGATAATGCTTTTTTTAGTCAAATATACCGCCCGTTACCGATCCTTAAAAGGATAGTTTACCCAAAAATAAAACTTCTGTCATTAGGCTTACTCACCCTCAAGTTGTTCCAAACTTGTTTGACAAAAGAAGATATTTTGAAGAATGCTGGTAACCATAAGTTGACGCTATAGCTATTGACTTCCATAGTATTTTTACTCTACTATGGAAGTCAATGTCTACCATCAACTTTTTGGATACCAACTGTAAAAAAAAAAAAATAATAAAGTTCTTATGTTCTTCTTCTGATTTCTGTTTGCGAGCATCTAATTATCGAAAACACTTTTTTTTCAAATATTGATGGTTACAAATGTGAAAACTCATTGAAGGAATAAAATATAAACTAAGTATAAAGACTAGCCTTGCGAAAAAGAAGTTTATTCAAGTGTGCTATTAGTATACTTCTTTTAAACTTAAAATAGGAAAGTATAATTTTAGTCTACTTTTTATGTATAACTCAGAAATGGGCTTTATGTACTTCTCAGAAATATACTTAAAATGACATTTAAGTATACTCGACTTATACTTAGAAAAAGTCTAAATATATTTTAGCTATGCTTGTGTTCCTAGAATCCGTGTACTTAAAAATATACTTGAACTTTACTTAAGTATACTTAATAAAATAAACTTGAAGTATACTACTTTTTGGTAAGGGTAGATATAAAACCATTGTCTCAAATGTCTAAAATGCAGAAGTATCAAAATATCTCCAGCAAATGAATCATCAGAAAATCAAATGTCAAACAAAAGACAGCACCCCCACATACAAAGTAGCCTACTTCCCTTTGTTTCACTCTGACAGACCATTGTTTACATATGTTTGATATATGTTACTTCTGGAATTAGTAGCCTGTATAAGAATGCTTAGAGACCTAGTGAACTCAGTAAATATGTGAGATCTTTTAACATGAATCACGTTAGGTGTATCTTTTATTGCTCAGCCATTTTCAGAGATTAAGGGTGTGTGTGTGTGTGATGTCTTCATGTTCCACATTTATTTCTGATGACAAAGTGTACATCATTGTAGATGTGTTTGCTAAATGACAGGTGGGGCATTTAAACTATTCAACTTGATTTAAATGAACTTTAAATGTAAGAAGGGAGCTGACATACACAATTTTGCTTTATGGTATCTAGATTTATTAATAACGATGACAGTTTGAAGAATGCAAGCAAAACTTAATTAAGGCAATAAATATATATTACAAATATATTATAAATATTAATGAAAAAATAAATATAAATACAAATTTAGAGTGTTAATTAAAATTACAGTTTAAAATCCAAGACAAATATAGGCTTGTCAATTCCTGACTGTCTATATGTCACACCTACATCCTGGCAAAAGAGGCTGACAACTCTTGGCAATTCTATGCCAAGAGTATTTGTAGCAAAGGTCATTGTCAGGGAAATCAAAAGCTTTTATGTAAGAAATGTGCCTATTCATTTCAGTCAGTTGATGAGCTGCACCAAGTCTGTTGCATAAAACAGTCCATAAGGTGGCGACTGAGTCACACTGATTCTGAGCTTCTTAGACACTTTAATGTTCTGCTATGTCAGTTCTCAGAATTTTACGAATTATAAATTGCTGATTTAATTGCAGTGTACCTTATGCTGTTGAGGTATGTAGGCTTTATTTCTGCATAATTTAAAACAGTGTTTTGTGATTTGTAATTTGAGAATTTGTATTGGAAAGAATTCCATTGTGTTAATTACGTAACAGGAAGAAAGAATGAACTCTGTGGTCATACTTCAGTAGCTATTATCTAAGTTTAATAGGCATTGACGAATATAACACTAAAGAGTCATTTCATTTGCCATATTAAATATTTGACATCCCAAGCCCTAAAAGCAAAAGCAGACAGTGACAAAACAAATAAATCCTTAGTAAATCTTGATTATATCTAATAAAACATGCTACACCATTATATTAATTCCCACATGCTCGCATTATGGAACTCTTGATGGAATATTGCTCAATATTTCATATTTAATTCTCATCTCGCCTGCCAGATAAGTCTGATAAGATTTGTAACTTGGCTTATGTACCCAAAAATGATCGGGCCACCCGTGCAACAATGGACTGTAATGTCATCTGGTCCCAGCAGTTCAAAGGCCACTCAAACTAATGAGGCATTATGCACAGGACTGCACTAATCGATATGACAGAGGCATCGTTTGACTGCTGTGATCTCTGTAAAGGGGAAAAAAATAATGATAATAATTTCCCAGTGAATAAGCAGAAGAAAGCTAAAATCTTGGCACCACTTATGATAATCATTTCTTTGTGTCTAAATCTATAATGTCTCTATTTTCCGGCTTCAAAAAAGAATTTGGCCACACTTTTTTTGACCATTTTTGACCACACTTAAAATAAATGAATGCATTTGAATTTATGGCAGAATATCAAGTCCTAAAAAGTTTTGACAGAATAATTTAAGGAAAGAGGCAGTGCAGTGTTTTAATAGACTGTTGGCTGAAAGTTTGTAATGATGTTCAGCAGTTCTTTTTCAGAGAGAAAGTGTTTGAGCAGACAGTCTCGGTAAACTCCTATGCAGTTAATGATATATTTTAAAGGATAGCTCACGCAAAAACGAAGATTTGGTCATTTACTGACACTCATGTCATTTCAATTCAAACCTGTACATATTTCTCTTATTTTTTCTCTTTATATATACACGATGGAATACATTCACAGCCTGCTTAAAACATTGTAGTTTGCGAACTGTAAAGAAACTCTTTCAAAATACAAGAGCTGGCATGTTTACTTCATGCCCATACAGAAGTTCCGCTTTTTTAGTTATCCAAGTGTCCTCTTAACTTTCCACAGAAGAATTTCCACTGCCTCAAAAAGCTAATTTCAAAAGAACAAATAATGTAACTGGCAGATATGCATCTCATAGGAAAGGAACTCATTTATATTTGGCACAATAGCAACATTCAAAGCTAAGGTATTTAGATCAAAGATACAGATAGGGAAATACATGAGTTTTTTCCAGATCTATGAAGAGTACATCACTGATTAACATAGTAAAGCATCTGTTATTGTACACAGCTTAATTGTTCAGTTCAAATAACAGAGATTATTTTATGCAATCTAGCACAATTTTTAAAATGTGTATTTATTATATTAACTTATATTATCTCCCCTTTCTATCATCATCCTTCTTTGTGTTTTTGTTTTCTTCAGTAAGGACAATACATTAAGACATGGGTGGGGAGCACATAATCACAGCCTGACAGAAATCCTGTTGATGTCTCTGTTCTGTGATTGACTCCTTATCGTGGTTTTGTCCTCTAGCACTTTAAGCCTTATCCAGTGCTTTTCTACATTGTATTATATTGGCATCTGTTTTGGAAGACATACCTGGTTTCTGGTTTCAAAATCAAGGACAGTAAATGGTTTCTTCAAGTTGTCAGTGCATACAATACACACATTTAACTTTTACTCTCTCAGTTGGTTCACGGCAAAATAAAATGGATTCTCATTAAAACCAACAAATGCAAACTTTTTTCCCCCATAATTATATATATATATATATATATATATATATATATATATATATATATATATATATATATATATATTTATATATATATATATAT